CCATGCAGCACTCACCATTATCTTCTGAGTCCTCAACCTCTTTCTAACCACATATCATCTCGCCTCGACGACCGATAAAGGCGTCACCCCAATTGCAAACAGGAGCTTGCCTCATCCATCACCGGCCATCACTCTCTACATATTTACGACGCTATTTATACCCGCAAGGAGGAAATTAAGTCGAAAAATACAAAGTTGGGGTCTTGGTTTGTGAGGGACTGATGCTCTAATGGGGTTGTATATCTTGAGGAAGGACAGGCGGCTGATATGTGGAGTGAGAGGGGAAAGAGGTCTCTGAAGACCATGCTGGAACTGACATTTTCGAGGAGTTTTCAACTCTGGATCTTTTGTGGGCGCCAAGATCAAGATTTCGGCTAATTAGCCTGGAGGGCTTTAATTGTCGATGAGTTGACGGCACTCCCTAGCGCCCTGGACGGTACAAAGGAAGTCGGGCTAAGCTACCAATCAGCAATCACGCTCTGTCAAGACTTTCTGACATTTCAGCACTACCTTCGGGAAGGAGTTGGAAGGAGGCTAGAAAGGCAGAGTGTGAATTCTCCGAGGTACCCACAAGTCTGCAGCGCCCAGCTGGCCGGCCTCTTCGAACGCTTCAGAAGGGGCAATATGTCTTCGGATTTATTCCTAATGTCGGTATTAGAAGAGCCCCGCACCCAGTGGTTTTTGCGATTTTTCCCGGCTGCCATACACCCGCAAATGGCCATCGTTTCAGTGGCTGGAGAGGGGAGATAATGAAGGGCTAAGTGCTCCTCTTAGTGTATGATCTAATGAGGACTTGTGAGGGGTGGTACTATTTGAGGGGAGCTGTATGGGAGGCATAGGAGGGGATATACTACTGGTATAGGTATCCTTGGCCTGTAGGCAGAGAGGACCTGCATGACCTACATAGTCATAGACTCAGACAGGACAATAAAATGAAATAATAATAATAATAATAATAATAATAATAATAATAATAATAATAATAATAATAATAATAATAATAATAATAATAATAGAAAAACATCATCATTTGGTCAAAAGCGGCACAACGTTCCACGAACGTTATTTCATCGTTTCGTTAATTGCTACTATCTTAATCGAACCTTATTATCCGATTCCCCGATTTTTTCGCACTGCGCTTCGGCATGGTGGATTGGGGAACCAGAAATGTGGTTTTCACTGCAGGAAAAATTTTCACGGCACCACCAAAACCCCCAACGGACAGCGGAACAGCCGCAATTATGGCTGTAGATTCTCTCGCGACATCTACAGGCATTAACATGGATAGCTTGAAATCAATAGGGCTTTTTCTAAACAAGGTTCGCGACAGACTGGTCATAGCAGGTACTAACCCAACAGCGACACCGATGGCAGAGGTAGATGGGGCTATTGACGCCCTCAAGTCGCACGCATTGTCACTACAATCGACAATGAAAGCGACACCAATGGAAGAAAGGATGCTGGCCTTAGAGAAGGCAGTAACGAAGAGTCTCGAGGAGCCTGTGCGCAAGATGGCTCCTCAGTCGACACAAGGAATGGGAGGTCGACCCACTTACGCTTCAGTCGTCGCACCTCCAGCGACTAAAGCGGCAGTAAGAATAAGAATACAAGGAGCAGACAAGATGCAGCCGGCAGAGCTGCTAAACAAGGCAAAAACACATATCGAGGGGGCATACGCCGTAAGGCAGTTAAGGAGTAACGACACTGAGGTGTTCGTGCAGTCGATCTCCCAGCGAGACGCTGCCCTGAATATGGCTCAGCCAAAGGAGTTCTGCGTCTTGAAGCAGGATTATCCTGTTGAAATTTTGGGAGTCCCATTGGGGACAATGATACATGGAGGAAAAAATGCCGACAACGGCAGAATGATATACCAAATAAAAACGGAGACAAATGTCAGGATTCCTGGAATCCAAATTAACAGATTAAGATGGCTTTACGACGGGAAGGAGCACCAATGGATGAGGAAAAATGGCCATACTCGAGGGTCGGTGATCGCTAGCCTGCCGACAGAGGCTCTTCAACGCGAGGTGATACGAAACGGCATTGTACTCAATTCAATGCTGTACACGGCCCAGCTCTGGTCACCCCGAGCACAAGTTAAGCAGTGCTTCAACTGCAGTCAATGGGGGCATACTCAAGCCTCGTGCAATAGGGCGAAAAGATGTGGTGAGTGCGCGGGCACTCACCAGACTAGAGACTGCCCGAGGAAGTCGGTGCTCTGCTGCAACTGCGGCAAAGCCCATAAATCGTGGCAGAAGGGGGCGTGTCCAAACTTCGCGTCCTATAAGGTCAGTGTCCAGAGGGCACGGTATGGACTTTTGGAAAGAACGGCAGACTTAAGAAGGGAGGAACTAACAGCAGCGGCCACTCCAATATCAACAGCGGAAAAACAAGTAGACAACCAAGGGTTTACACTGGTGTCCAACCAGAAGGCAGAGGTCGGAAAGAGAGGGCCAGGGCGCCCGCGGAAAAATCCCGTGGCCACAGCCCCACCTACACACCAATTTGCGCCATCGGGGTCGAACTCAAGACCACAGTCATCACTTTTCGGCACGCGAGGGCTGGGAAAGGATGGCGAGGTCACCTATAACTTTAGCTAGTCTTGTCTCGGACTAACGGCATATTGCGCTTCCTGTAGGTTAACGAAGTACTACAGATATAATTTGAAGGAGAAGGGGGTTTTTATCGGAAGGTTTCCCCCTCATGTAAAATATCTATAAATAGAGTTTATAGCCACCTGCATGGGCCCATAGGGCGCCAAATCAGGATAATGAAATCAAATTCAAATTCAATAATAATAATAATAATAATAATAATAATAATAATAATAATAATAATAATAATAATAATAATAATAATAATAATAATAATAATAATAATAATAATAATAATAATAATAATAATAATAATAATAATAATAATAATAATAATAATAATAATAATAATAATAATAATAATAATAATAATAATAATAATAATAATAATAATAATAATAATAATAATAATAATAATAATAATAATAATAATAATAATAATAATAATAATAATAATAATAATAATAATAATAATAATAATAATATGTTGATCCATGACCTAGACCATGAACGTCTCTGCGTTGTGTTAGCATGGACTAGGATTATAATACACTTGCTTAATACTAGCCATTTCAAGTTATGGCTTGGAATCTCCTTCGACCGGGCTCTACGGTTCTAATTTCATACCCTACAGGCTTGCCGAAAGTCACTAGCTATCATCAGCCGTTTGAAAAGACTCTAGACGACGACTCAAGAAATTAGCCCTCTCTTTCTACGACAATCTCTACAAGGTGCCGCATTTGCGACCCTTTTCTACGGGGCCGAGACCTGGTACTCTAAAGAGACATCTCAAAAGACCATCTCGCGACTCCAACACAGGATGAACGACACAGCTCGAGCAGCTCTCCCAGTCTATCGCACTACGCCAATAGCAGCACTTCTACGGGAAGCTGGCTGAGTCCCAGCTCAGACGTGGCTTAACATAATTCATAGTCGTCTAGTGAATCGAATTGCAGCAGCTGATCCCTTTCACCCTCTTCGTATTCGATTGAACACTTTTCCCATGCGCTGGGTCTGCCAAAGAATCTCGCCAGAACTTTCTGGGGACACCATCCACCTAACATCGTCGACACTCCATGGGGCAAAGCTTATCATAATTGGGGTAGTAGGTAGACTCTCGGGATCAAATCCCTTCACACACTTGCAGGCTACACGACCCATGCTAGAATTGTTCGTATCCTTAGATGGCGCTTTCATAGAAGACCGAGCAGGTGCGGGTCATGTCATTTACCGAGGTCTCTCGCAGGAGATAGGACGAGGATCACTCCCACTCGGAAACTCAGCTGAAGTATATGATACAGAAATCGCCTGGGTCACGGAAGGCCTTACTGCAGTATTCAGCAACCCATTGGCTTTCTATGCGACCAATATTACCGTTTGCCTTGAAACCCAGTGTAAAGATTCTTGAGAAATGCCTCAGGCAGGATTTATGGGTTCCTTTTTTAAAAATCATTTAATGTGTATTCGGCTATAAAGCTATGACACATGACCGGTGCTATGTATACATATTGAGTGACTCTTTTGACGTTAGAGACACTCATACTCTGGATATCATTTGCAAATACCACTATGAGGTATGCTTGCTTACACAAACAGTCGCCCCTCCTCCGTTAGTACCCACCAAAAGGGAATTTCGAAACCATTGGTCATCCATGCATACCAGCGCCGCGAGAAATGTGGTTGTGTTTTGCCGGATTTGAACCAGCGATCTCCTGTCTCGAGTGGGATATGTGTCCAAGCTAACCAGACTCTACTTGGCAGACCGGCCAAGACGATGTACCACCGCACCATGCAACCATGGCGGTGTTTATTGTGTCGCCTGCACTCTCGCAACCGAAGTCTTGGCACACACAAAGCTCAATTTGTAAAACCTCCTTTCCAAACTTCAAAATTCCACGCCCGTCGAGACTGTATCCATTCGTTGCATCATCTTGTTAACTTATCCCTAATCCTCTCACGCCAATCCCAAAGAGCTATCTCTCAGATTTGTGCGCCACGCTTTGCTTCCTCCGTCGGGTACAAGTATCGGCGTGGGCGTGTATTTGGTGACCTGCTGAGGCCAGAGAAAGTCGACGAGAAGTGTAATCATTGGAATAAGGATGTACTAGGTCGTACTTGTAGGCTTGATGAAGCTTAGGTAGGAATCGATCTCGTTGGGTGTGAAAATTTGACGTGGTGGAGTAATATGAATCATTGCCTCGTGGGCCAACTTGTTCGGTATTGCTAAATTTGACTGAACTTGGCTCTGGGAGAATATTTCACTCCCAGGTTCGTAGAGGACAACGCGTACAGGTGTTTAGTCTTGCCCTCCATATAAGTGTGGCTCAACACTATTGTTACCTTCATTCTAGAAGTAGTCTCTTATTGAAATATTTTTTCGTTTTTGAAAATAGGTACAACAAAAACCTACCCCAGTCCAAGTCTCCCTCCCCATTCCCTCCCTAATTCCACCACGGCCCATAATGCCTTTCCATCAGCGGCCACCCCAGAATCCCCAACCGAGTCAACTCCGTGCAAGCCAACAATCCACAAGATTCCTCTCCCAATCATCCAACGAGTAATAGCCCCTACTGCTGCCAGGATGGCAGCTGTTCCATAATTACAGTCTAGCAATATTCTCAACGCCTCGACATTATTGGCGACGACAGCCCATCCTAATGATCTTGCGGCGGCAGGCACATCGTATTCCCAGATGACCATTAGTATCGGAAAGAGTTTTGTGCAGCTCGAAACCAAAAGAGCAGTGCTCACAGAGTTCGGACGGGGGTATCTAGGGAAAAGCCCCAGCAAGACGAGCGGGGATAGGGGCGAGGATGTGAGAAATCGGATGGAGAAATGAAACGCTAGGGTTGATAAAGCGCACAAAACTAGAAAAAAGACATATTGAAAAATTATCGGCTTCTGCGCGAGCCTAAGAAAATTATTCAGATTCGTAGAGTTTTCCGTGGGATAGGACGATGTTTGTTTTTCTATTCGCGCCCAGGTAAGATAGACGTCAAAGAGCAGTAAGAGAATTCCGAGACGAATTATAGATGGCTAGGAATTTTGGTGTTAGTAGAGGAGTGACGTCTGGGAAGAGGCACGTACATCGAATTGATCCTTCTCCCTCATCAAAGTATTGTGAAGAAGGTGACGATACACCTATATTGTCAGCACAGCCCGGTGATGATGAAGATGACAATCACCTGCGGCTTTATGAGGACTAGATCTATGAAAAGTACTACGAAGTCGTGTTCCACATATTTATCACAGAAGCGCCCGCAGTTCTTACACACCGTGAGGCGGACACCATGACCGCTGGACTTGTCGTTGGCTCCTGAGTATTCAGTATAGAGTGTCTTGACTGGGTAGCGACATTCAACGCAAATTGGCATTTCACCGTCAGAGGATGTGTAGCATAACCTTTTGTTCCGATTCTACAGTTTGTAATTGGGTTGCAAGGTAGGTTCTTCACCTCACGCGTCTCTCGGACCGTGCCCACGAGGCTGTAGCCCTGTAGAGTGGAAGTATATTTCTCAGTGTCGGTTCATCTAGGTCGTAATAGTAGATGTGTCATCATGTGGGGACCACATGATGACCTCGGCATGAATGCGTTAGCCAGAATCCACACTACACTTGTGAGTTAAATTTAATCAAAAATCAAAATCAAAAATCACTACACTTGTGAAATGGTCCAGCCCCATCCGCGCTCAAGCCCCAGCAGGAGCGCAGCAGGTCTTTTTTTTTGCATCAGATTTTAATTGCGTATGCAGCTATCTAGCTATAACAGAATATAAAAGAAAAGTACAGAATAGATGATTCAACGTAAGGGAAGAGCACTCATGCCTCGGATTTCATTTGCAAGTACCACTGCGAAGTTATGGTGGCTTTTTCTTCACCCCAAGTCAACCCTCATCCGTGAATACCCACCCAGGGGAATGTCTCAAAACCCCTGAGTTATCCAGAAATACCCGCATCATCCATTAACATAATTTTTTAAATTCATTTTATTGTCCTGTCTGAGTCTATGACTATGTAGGACATGCAGGCCCTCTCTGCCTACAGGCCAAGGATACCTATACCAGTAATATATCCCCTCCTATGCCTCCTATATAGCTCTCCTCAGACATTATCACTCCTCACAAGTCCTCATTCGATCATAAAGTTAGGGGAGCCCTTAGCCCTTCATCATCTCCCCTCTCCAGACAACGAACAGATGGCCATTTGCGGATGTATGGCTGCTGAGAAAAATCGCAAAAACCACTTGGTGCGGAGCTCCCCTGATACCGGCATTAGGGCTAAATCCGAAGTCATAGTGAGCCTTCTGAAGCGTTCGAAGAGTCCAGCCAGCTAGACGCTGCAGACTTGTGGGTACCTCGGAGAATTCACCCTCTGCCTTTCTAGCCTCCTTCCAACTCCTTCCCGAAGGTAGTGCTGAAATGTCAGAAAGTCTTGACAGAGCTTGATTGCTGTATGGTAGCTTAGCTCAACTTCTTTTGTGCCGTCCAGGGCGCTGGGGAGTACCGTTCACTCATCGAAAATTGAAGTCCTCCTAGCTAACTAGCCGAAATCTTGGTCTTGGCGCCCATAAACGTTCCAGATTTGAAAACCTCTCGAGAATATCGCTCCCAACACGGTCTTCAGAGACCTGTTCCCTCTCTCGCTCCACAATTCATGTGCCTGTTCTCCCTCAAGTTACTTGTCCCATCAGAGCAATATTCCCCGTAAGCTAGGACCCATGCTTTGTATTTTTCGACTCGCTCTCCTCATTGCGGGTATAAATAGCGTTGAAAACAGGTAGTGAGAGATGGCTGGAAATTAATGGGGCAAGCCACTATTTGCAATTGGAGCAATTTCTTTATAGATTGTTGAGGCGATATGATGCGTGGTTAGAAAGAAGCGGAGGACTCGAAGATTATGGTAAGTGCTGCATGATTCCGAAGCCGTTAAATGGTGATATGTCTGTATTTACTTTCGACTTCGATTCGATGCGATTATTCTTGGAAATCCCAGATATGCAGAGCATACGGGGCGATTACACCGGCACCACGGGAAGGTGAAGAATTCGTCTTTGCCGGCATCTATTAAATTTTCTCCGCGCGAAATGTGATCTAAAAAGTCTCCTTCCCAAGTGGAATAGGTGCCTAGGCTACTCAAACTATACCGGAGAACACCACCAGGAGGCTGACCACAACACCTTCCATCGTTTGCTTATCTTTTTAGTTTCAGCTTATCCTTGGCCTGTTGGTAGAGAGGACCTGCATGTCCTACATAGTTATAGACTCAGACAGGACAATCAAATGAATGAATTAATTAATAGTGTCTACTGCAGTCTCGCAAGCGAAGTCTTGGCGCGCACAAAGCTGAATTCGTAAAACTCCCTGCCAAACTTCAAAATTTCACGCTCGTCGATTTCGTATCTGTCCTACGTGCTATCTTGCAAACATGTCCTAATCAATCTCACGCACATCCCAAAGAGCTGTCACCCAGATTTGTGCGCCATGCTTTGCTTCCTCCGTCGGGTATATACATCGGCGTGGACGTGTATTTGCTAGTCAACTGAGGCCAGAGGAAGTCATCAAGAGGTGTGATCATTGGAATAAGGATGTACGAGGTCGTACTTGTAGACCTGATGGGACTTAGGTAGGAGTCAAACTCATTGGGAGTGAAAAACGACATGGTGGAGTAATTTGAATGATTGCCTTGTGGGCCATCTTGTTCGATATTGCGAAATTTGACTGAACTTGGCTCTGAGAGAACATTTCACTCATAGATTCGTAGAAGGCACCGCGTACAGCTGTTCAGTCTTGTCCTTCGACGCCAGCCCCCTCATCTCTGACTGTCAGGGGTTTTCCAAAAAAATTTCTATTAAACCTTCTCAATTCACCTTTCCCAGGAAACCTTCTCCCTGAAATTTCTTCAGGATTGCAAGGCCATATAACGTTGTCTCGGCTCCCACAAGTTCCCAAAAATCGAAATCACTCGAAAGACGTGAATTGCAGTATGTTGTTATACTACAAGGTACGGTAAAGGCCAGTATTTCGTTATTAACAGATTAGATTGACAAGGAGAGAAAAAGCTGTGCAAAAGGCATCTTTACATAAATACTTTATACGATAGCTTCATTGCCTTTAATAATCCATGATACACGCCCATTAGTGACCACTTCACTTGTTCATCCCACGTCCCAAGTCCCAGCTGCCTATTCATCCTCAAGAGGTGAAGCCGCATTAGAGTGATGTTCCCACGTAGACCAAGATCCGAGCTTTGCATATCATGACTTGGTTTCCTCCTTGCTAGTATACACAGCATCGTAACTTTATAGTGGAAGATGGCCAGTTTTGAGTGAGGCAAATTCCCAACTGCTATTCAGTTAACTTCTTTATCGGTTGTAGAGACGAGGTTGTGTAGCAAGATTGAGGTAGAGGAGTCGCGTGAGAATGGTTGGTCGGACATTTGTATTTGAATTTGGGGTTGGAAAATTTGACTTGACAGGAAGTGCCAAATGCTTCTTTAGACGTGACACCGGTAGATGGGCCCTAAAAGCTTATTTCTAATAGGCCCGAAAGTGACGATAAGTCATCTATCTTAGACATGCTTGAAATTGCTTTTGATTTCGATTTCGATCCGGACTCAGTAGATCTTGGTTATACCAGGTATACAGAGCATACTGTGCGATTACACCAATATCACTGAGGGATGACGAGTTATTCTCTGCCAGCTATTGGCTTTACGAATTATGCGGCAATACAGTAATGAATTTCACTCTTGTGTGACCATCTATCACATGTCCACACAACGCATGCCCAACTTTGCTCACCAATTCCTTTTGCATCATCGCATTCATCCATATATCATCATCCATACTAAAACTTTACGAAATGTCTAAATTTTCAGAAATTTTTGCTTACTTCAATGAGAATCCAATCTAAGCCATTTTTATACGATTTCGAAATAAATACAAAAAGGAGAGTGCTCAAACTGGTAATTTTCACTGAATAAGCAAGGAGTCGGAAGCTAACATACTGAAGTTGCGGGATCATTTGCTAAATTAGCTGCTCATGTATTCGATATCAGTCATAATGATGAACTGATAAAATTATCTGGTCAAATTTCCAAAATCTTCGCGGAGATCCCGTGTGATAGAAATTATCATCAGCCCTTCAACCTCTTGTTAAGGCTATCTTACAAAATCAAGATGGAGCCAAAATACTCAAAATCGCGATTGAGCTTGCACAAGAACTAGCAGATAAAAAATTTCGCTCAACTTATTGAACGACCAGTTTTGAAATCTACTAATAGTTGTATTTCCATTGTCTGAAGTATTTCAGAGGTAAATAGATTTAGCGAAGATGTTACATTCTTCACTACAGCGCTCGAACGTGAACTTCATAACAATCTAATTTTTGAATAAGACAACTTTTAGACGAAGCTTTTCCTGGGTTAAGATTTGTCTGATCAAACATGGAACATCTGGGAATACTATTAAACGTACAAAATAAACGAGAACAGATACAGGATGAAGATAGGCTAAGGAGGCAGAAAAAGGCTGCACTTAAGACACAGGATGAAGCTTCGACCAAGACACAAAGAGAAATTGCCAGAATTTAGAGAGGAATCCAGGCCCAAGAAATAGAAGAAGAAGAGAAATTATCAGTGTCAGATTGGAGCGAAGATGTATGGACTGAAGCGTAATTGTAGTAGACCTTCAATCACCTTATGCAGTCTATCCAACCTTTCTTCCACTACAATTACGCTTCAGTCCATACATCTTCGCTCCAATCAGACAGAGAGGAATAATTACTGGAAACTTCTAAAAAGACTCGGATTCCGAAAAAAAATAGAGGCAGATGATTTTGAAATACTGAAATTTTCGGAAATTTCTAGATAATTCCTCCCTAGAAAATATAAAGAGATTGAGGAACCTAAATATTTTATAGAATACAATGCGCTGTAAAGTTTGGACAGTGGCAGTAATTTAAACCAAACCATAGATATCCAGAAACAAGATCCTTTGGTAGAGGTCGAACATGAGGAAATCTCGAAAGTTTTCTATGTTAGTAAAATTCTGACAGAAGACATGACTGAAATCGAAATGTGGAATCAGCTAGATTTTTTTCGGGTGAAGTTTTTGAATCAGCTCACAGATTAATTCTCCGAATCTTCGGATAATTTTTCCTCGATCTCAAAAGGAACTAAAAGATCCCAGTTGCGCTGCAATTATTTTCGCTCACCAAATGAATTCCCAATGAAAGGTACTGACCACAATTACTAGGCTGACTTCCTGATAAAAAGTATAGAACTTCAAGATGCTAATAAACACCAATTGAATGATGTGAAAGTTCTGGGTGAGTTCAAAAAACAGTATTCTACAAATCAAAAATAAGGAAAGTTT